GGAATCATGTGTTGTATAGTTAACTTCCTGTGTCTTAAGCTGTGTTGAGGTATAGGAAGTGACCTTTCCTCTTGCATAAGAACAAAACATATTCGTACTTTGTTTCATCTGTCTCTCTTGTCCCGATCGGCGGGAAGAGCATGTGTTTCGATTCTAAGTTTATTCGTATGGCAGCATGATCACTTGTAGTCTTAAGCAGTCTCCATCCTGAAGTTCTTAATAGAACTCATACCTGGTTCATCAATTACAGTTTCGCGTATACGAGTCGTATATAATTAAGGTTGAAAAGGTAGTTGAATAAATGATTCTTCTTTAAGCCCAAAAGAAGTTAAAGTGGAATCATCAATTCTAAACCTATAGAACCTTGATTATATACTACCCCTATGTATACATTCTTCAATGATAGATCAACAGTATGGGTCTTTGGATTGAACTTGACGTGCTGTACGAGTGGTAATTCGGGGAGGTTTGCTGAGTTTTTCTTCGGAAGGATAAGAAACATGAGGGACTCTATGCATGAGTACCTCGGAGTTCTGGAATGACGGCTTCACCGATTTCGGAGAAAGAGATGTGCGCACGAAACTGGTATTGTAAGGATTGAATTGAGTCAAGTTGTACGATGATCAGACTAACTTGGAAATAAGGGCATTAGATTTGATCATAAGGGTGTTACAGACAAAAGACAACAGTACAACTTTTAAAGGAGTTATAGTACTTTAGTTTTACTATAAGACTATTGCTGCGAACAAAGTATACTACAAAAGGCAAGTATACGCAACACGAGCATCCCTATACCGAAGGGATCCCACAAAAGATAAGAATCTAGTTGCACTAGTTTTAGACATGCTTTAAAAAGACATACATAATACTGACGATTGTAAGTGAACCTATACGATAGTAGGGACCTTCGTTGCTTCTTTCCATTCTGAGGTCAAACTCCTCCGGATTCGCCGTCGTCCTTCTCTGTTGGGTAGTCCCTCTTGAAGTGTCCCATTACACCACCTAGATGGCATATTCGAGAGATTTCGACATTGGTGTTTGAAGTAATGTGTTGGGTCCGAGTCCTGGAGCAATTTGTAGTATGTCCGTTCTTGTTGCATTTAAAGCAGTGTAATGGAAGACAACCACCCAGATGATGGAAGCTGCACTTATTGCATTTCGGTAGGTTTCCATCATACTGCCGAGCTGGTGTAGGGATAATTGGGATACCAGAAGAGATGGTAGTAGGAGGTACAGATGTCGTGGCTGCGAAGGTTGCCACATGTTGTTGTCTTTTGCTCGCCGCTTGGGGTGATTTTCCTTTACTTTAGCCCAAAACTTTCGTTTGTTATTCTTGGGCTTGGGATTCGGGGTTTTGTGGTATTTTGTTGCCCGTTGAGGTATTTTATTGTTACTTGGATTGGAGTTATTGTTAACAATCCCGCTAACATTCACGTTGTTAGCGTTAAGGTGCGTCAAAACAGCTGACACGGTAGCCGAGACTACAGCTTGAAAGGTAGCTGCATCAATCTGAAGAGTTAGTGTTTGGTTGATGGGTTGATCGTTTTTCTTCGGCAACATGATTCTGTTGCATGGAAAGAAAATGAATTTGTGAGTGAGAATGGTTGAACATGGATGTACTTTGATCGCTTAAGTAAAGAGTAGAAGTATGTTCTTGAAGTTTTGACCTACATCTCTATGATGCAGTCCTAGTACAAATTACAAGTATGTTCATGCTAGTTTGACCTACATCCCTATGATGCAGTCCTAGTTCAGAGTAGAAGTATGTTTGTAGAATGGTCTTTAAACGTTTATCGTTCAAGCCGAGGTATTATAGGTTGGTGGATAATATGATCCAACCTTTAAAAGAGGCTTGAAAATGATTTTGGAGTTAAATTACCATAGTCCAATAACTTGACTAGATGGGGTTTCAGATAGACTCCAACGGTAGTAAAAAGGAAGGTATTTGAACAATGAGTAACATGGAAGTTAGTCGACTTTCGATATCATTGATGTTTAAAATGTAATAGGTTTGGGGAAATTGACCTTGTTGTAGGTCATACATCATATTCGGAGTAGAAAAGTATTTGACAGCATAAAGACTTAACTAAAAGTACTTATAGTACAAGGTAGTCACATAAAAAGTACTACACAGAACATAGATAGGAACACGGTTCTTTAAAACAAAGAAGGAAGTAAGGTATCTCCTACTGGCGACGGTCACCCCTATGGTGAACCCTTAGTTTGGTTAGTTGATGTTTCATATCAAGCAGGTATCTCTCGTACACCCTCTGGCGTACTTGGAGCTCTATGATTTCGGCTCGGGTTTTAGCTAGTGCTTGCAGCAGGGTCTCATGGTTTCTCTCAGATCTCTTACTGGTGATCAAGGTGATTGGTGTGAATGGTATGCATTCTTGCATTGGCATTAACCTCTTTGATACGTTGAAAAGTCGTCCTGCCCTGAATTTCGTTTTGGGAAACTCTACGGATTATGATTTGTAGAACTCTATCTGCTGAGATTCCTTCACTTGAGTGGTAGAAGCTTCGGTATCCATTAAATGACATAGGTTGATTTTGCTCTTCACTCCATGTTTCCAAGCATTCTACCCAAGGAGGCGTCGGGTCATGAAGAGCTGGACAAGGGTTAGGGTTTGAATTGGGAGCTACTAGGGGTAGGTTCTCATCCTCGGGTTCGGAGTTCTCATCATCCGAAGGTCTTCAGCATGGTGATCATTCAAAAGGGAGTGGATGATCATTCTTTGGTTCTCCTCTGAACCATCTAGCACTGCCTTCGTTCGGGAAGTACGGGTTGTAGTGGGGATGGAGTCTAGCCATGTTATCTACACAGTTATATGAAATCAAAACATGATAGACTTTCGAATAAGTGAACTCAACTCCAAATTCACAAGGAACCGGGGTAAAGCAGAATTTCACAAATTCTAAGTCTATGACATTCTAGTTACAGATAACCTTAGTATATCCACTTAGCAACCATCAACTTAGTAATGAAGATCCTTTTTAGTTCTCAAGTAAGTAATTATAGTAACACAAAATACTCCTATAGTATTTTATACTTAGGTTCTGTTATAATGTTCTCATTGTGGTAGTGTTGGTAAGTTTTTAGACTTGTTGCCACATCACAACCATTCTTGGGCATATGCTAATCACTCCTCGGACCAGCATAGTTGATCAGGCTATGCCATTCCCAGGACTGACCATACATCCCCGAGCTTACCTGTGATATTCAACACTCATAATACTTTTGCTCTTGTCTTTGTGACACGGATTTTAGTATGAATGCAGGCACGTATACTTACTTAAATATTTTATTATTTAGAAGTATAAACTCTAAGTCAGAGTATTTTTAATCCCATTGTATTTATAGTTAGTATATCTTTTATGGGTTGATATACTCAATTCACTATATCTTTTATGGAAGAAATTTCGGGTTGTCACAAAAAGGGAAAAGGGTTGAAGGTGAAGGTGGAAGTGGAAGTGGTGTCAAAAAGGGAAAAGGTGAATGAGTGGTGTGAATAAGAAGAATGGTCAACAACAACAACGTACAATCAAGTTAATGAAAAAGTTAGAGAGGATAATAAAGAAGAAGTTGGCAAAAAGGGTTGAGGGCAAAAATGGTAAATGAGATATGTCATCTAAACCAATGGACTTGGATTAAAAGTGTTTTGTTTATGGAGTATGTTTGTTAGGGTTAGATGTCTTTCTTTCATGTTTGTTATGGTCTTGTTAAGTTTGTTAGTGTGTCCTTAAAACACTAAGTAATGACATGAATGAATGAATGTTTGTCGTTGTAAGACAAATATAACAACATACTTTGACATAACATGGATGCTTGTTTGTGATTGTAAAACATATATGGCAACGTACTTTAACATAACATGAATATTTGTTTGTGATTGTAAAACATATATGGCAAAGTACTTTGACATAACATGAATATTTGTTTGTGATTGTAAAACATATATGTCAAGGTATTTTGACATAACATGAATGTTTTTTTGTGATTGTAAAAACAAATACGACAAGGTACTTTGATTGTACAAACAATGGTACAATCCACATGAACAAATCAATCAACAGTTAACAAAACAGTTGGTACTACGACAACATTAGTAAATACTAGCGGACATCATATGAAAACATTGGTTAATAGCAACTAGATTTCATTTCCTTCATCAAAGTGACCATACATTACAAATGAGGTTATCGTGTTACCAAATCCTCCCAAAAGATGGTTCTGAAATCCCTAACATCGTCAAAACTCACCACTGATCCAAATAACCAATAAACATCGCCTAAAACGCATAATCACCAATAACAAAACATACCCTAATACATACATATTATACTAGCAGATGGAGAAGTTAAACAAAAACAAACAACCTTCGACAACCCCGAAAACGCTAAAATCGCCATCGTGCTACCTACCAACATAACTATACCCACCAAAATCCCTACCCATATCATTCGACGCAACCATGAACCCCAATCATTGACACCACTGCAACTCCAACAACAACTATTACGATCACGATCTTTTTCAAGTTCACATTTCCTCTGTAAACTCTCCTAGCTGTTGTCGCATGTCATCTCTCATTTCCTCAATCTGCACTTGTGTTTCCATGGCGTGAAGCTCGTCAGTTGGTATGTCCAGGTCCGATACATTGAAACCACCATAAGAGACGTTTTGTTCTAAGCCCAATAGTAGCCAAAAGCATAAAAGATCAAAATTAGCTGTATTAAGCAAATGATACGATTAGGGTAACAAAGTGGGTGGGGAACACTCGTTTAGGGTACCCTTCAATTTATAAGGAGGATCATCGAGGATGACTTGGCAAACTTGGAGACAAAGATTAGAACAGTACTAGTCGATTCACGTTCCACTGTTAAGACCACATCATCAAAATATCATTTAAACCTTTTACAATCTGTAAAAGAACATTATTAAACAATCATATCAAGAGTTAGTTTTGCTAATGTGCAAAAAAAAAAAAAAAAAAAACCAACCACAACAAGTTGAAGAGCTAACATGACATTAGCCCGAACTAAAATTAACATAATACGATCCAATTTGCTATGCAAAAGAGGTAGGAGGATAATCACAAGGGATAAAGGCAAAAACCTCTTGGAAATGTCGTCTCTAAACCGTGTCTGACAAAATCAACCCTGTTGCTGTCGTAAATCAGAACCTTCCATTCTCGTCAAACCAAAACCAGATCTGTTTTCTTCTCTAGACTTTCCTCCCTAAACGCCCCTTTAGATTTTCCATCCCAATCTCCCCCAGTTTTGCAGAAAGATCGATGGGTTTATCATTAAGCAGCAACAGAAGAAGAAACAACCATTATCCCCATCAACACCCACCTTCTGCCGACCCTTATTCTGCACCACAATATATTTACTCTGCTCCTCAACCGCCACTACCACCGCCACCGCCGCCACCACCGGCACTCCCACTGCCCACGCCCCCAGTGTTCCACCCCTACGATGCCAGTAGTTACCCTAATAACGCCTTGAATGTCAGGCCCAATTTTTGGTCTTATAGTCAACAGCAAGCAAATTACAATTACGGGTGGGCGCCACAAATGCGTCTACCTTCAATGATGCCGGCTCCACCACCTCAGCCTCCGCCAGCGTATGTCGAGCATCAGCAGGCAAAGAAAGTTAAGAGTCATGTTAACGTGCATAAGGATACATTGAAGGTTGAAATCGATGAGGAGAATCCTGATTGTCATTTAGTTTCCTTCGTGTTTGATGCGATGTTTGATGGGAGGTTAGTAATCCGTGTAAATTTGCTACTACTTTACTGTGTATTCTACATATAGCTTATGTATGCCAATGATCATGCATTATCTTTTACATTTGATGAACAATTGTGTTAGAAACTTCGATGCAACCAATAACAGGATCGTATCACTGTTAGGCCTAATTTGGGTTGTCAGTGTAGAATTGTGCAATTGTCTAAATAATCTGTAATGGTGAATAATCCACTCTCTAGATATTTATATTAGAAATTAAATTATTCAACTGTCTAGATATGATATAATCATGTTATCTACCTCTTGAAATTAGATCAATGTCAAGTTGTTGTCTCATTTCATGCATTTTAGTATCTCAGTTTAGGTCTACCTTACACTACACTGAACTAAACTAGGGATCTGTTTCTTCTTTTCTTAGATAAATGATGTTTAAGAAAAAGTTAAGTTGTGCCCAACACACTAATGGAAATGAAAGGAGAAAATAGACAAGGGTAAATTTGTAAAATATTAAGACTCTCTCAAGTCTCAAGGGGACAAAAAGTGTAAGTATCTTGAGATAGAGTTTCAAGACAATTATATGCTAACAAAATTTTATCATAATAGGTTGTTTTTCGTGCATTCAATTATAAGAGTAACTTGGGTTTATGTATTATTTGGATAGATATATATACTATATCTAACAAATAACACTAGGGATAATCCACTATGCAACAATATGGTTTGCTTAGATTCAGCCTTTTCAACTATTTAGTGCACGAGTCATCATTGTTTTATTTTGTAATTCTTTTCAAATGGATAAAGATTTTCATACTTTGTTATCTTTTATGAATTTTTCAAGAACTAGTTATAACAGATATGTTGATGTTAGGATTCTACAACTAGGTTTACAAACATGATTGAATATTATATGAATCATAGTGTGCACATAGAGAATCCTCTTTGAAGTGAAATTGTTCATCATAAAAATGGACATCTGTTAGTTTTGTGATTATATATTTGCCAAATTTAACAAATATCTTCATACTTTATTGGATTTTTGGATTCAACAAGATTAATGTGAAATGTACAAAAACACACATTTTTTTTGTCCCACCTAAAAAGGTGGGATAGGGACTTGCTATTGATCTCTTGTCTATCCAAAAAGACGTGAATGCCCTCATCCTCAACATGGAAAATAATCCTGTAAAACAGGTTTAATGACTTGTAAATAATCTAATCCTTACAAAATTGAGTATGCATTCTGATTTCAGATGATAGATTTCACATAAATGCTTATCAACATAAATTTCAATCCAAAAATATAAGGATATAAAAAACAACCTTATATTTTGTGGTTTTTCCGGATTACACCTCAAATTTATTTTTTGCCTGAAAAAGCCTTGTATTTTTTCATCTTTCCCGATTTGGCCCTTTGTCATTTTTTGCCAAAAAAAATGTAAAATGTAAGGTTTTTTTTCGAGAAAAACTAAAAAAGTTGAGGGTTTATTTGGAAGCATTTAGAAGGTTGAAGGTTTTAAAAAAATACAAAGTTGAGGGCTTTTTCGGAAAAAATGAAAAAATACAAGGTTTGTTTCACGCTAAAAGTAAATTTGAGGTTTAATCCGAAAGAAACACAAAATATAAGGTTTTTTTGAGACTAACCCAAAATAAAATATTCAAATGTCCGAGTAAAAATGACTAAAATACCCTCATGTAAAATCTAAGCAAACAGCCTTCAGTTAGCAACATCCATTCTAGGGACCATAAACTTGCATTCTTTTCTTGGATGATCTGTGTTATCGAATCTTTATGAACATTTTCTATAATAATTTAAAGACTTCAACTTCATCTCTTTCCTTAACTAATTTTTTTTCTTCCTTTTTTGCCCTTGATGTCTACAGCATGACAATCTACTACTTTGCAAAAGAAGAGTCCGAATGCAAGTTTTCCCCATTATACCCCGAAGCATTTCTACCTGTAAAAGTCCCATTTTCAAAGGGCCCCGGACAAAAATTCAGACAACCACCAGGGACTGGAATTGACTTTGGATTCTTTGAATTGGATTCCCTTTCAAAACCATCATCCGGGGAATCCATATTTCCACTTGTAATATGTGCAGAGACGATTTTACCCTTGTTATCTCCCAATCAACATCTTTATGATCCCTTACCAACTACAACCCCTACCCCTACCCCTCACATGCAAATCACACAAGCTGTTTTGGAGAAGAACAATGGGGATGGTTTTAAAGTTAAAGTGATAAGACAGATTTTGTGGATTGATGGAATTCGTTATGAGTTGCGTGAAATCTACGGAATCGGAATTGGACATTCCGATGAGAGTTTTGATAATACGGGGTCTGGAGAAGAATGTGTTATATGTATGACAGAACCTAAGGATACTGCTGTTCTTCCATGTAGGCATATGGTAAGTTCTTGTTGGATTAATTCCCAAAATAATACGACTTTTTTGTTCAAAAAAAAAAAAAAAAATAGGACTTTATCAAAAAATTTCCCAGTATAATGAATTAATGCGACTTTTCTGCATAAAACCATACAATCAATTTGGATATGATTAAATTTTACGTACTTTCTATATTGCTTTGATGATGAGAGTAGATAGATGAAGCGTATGACTCTTAATGGCTAATAAAGGATATGCATACACAATGTATATTTATTCTTTCTAAATACAAGAAATAACAAAATAATTTGATTTGTTTTAGTATAGCATCCTACTTCCGTTTATTTCTATTAAAATGTTCCACTTTCAGTTTATTCTAATTAGCGCATCCCACTTAAAAAATCAACCAATTATGACATTAAACGCAGAATTTTTTTTTTAATTAAAACATTTAGTTTAAAAAGTCAACCTTATATAAAGAATAATGTTATAATATAAAAAAATGAAGGTTGTATGCTATAATAAAGAAATCACGGAATGTATGTTGCTATTTTCTGCATATGACCTTATAAATTATGCTTCTGTTACATATAATCAAATATGCATATCCTTGTTATCAAATCATGTTATTATAGTCTATAAATAGGGTGGGATACGAACTTGCTCTTGAATCTTGATCTCTCAGTGCAAAAGACATGAATGCCCTCCTCACTTTCATCATTGAAAATCCCCCTAGAAAGTTTGGAGAAATCGAAGAAAAATTAAGGGCAAATTTGTGAACAATTAGGACTTAATGATTACTTGACTTTCTCTATTAAGTCATTCTTTCTGAACTAAATAAAAAAGAAACACTCATATATAGCTTACCAGATTAAGTCCATTAAGTAAAAAATAACCAGTCTGTAAGAATCGAGGGGTCACTTGTTGAAGAATCTACGTTATGTTTTCTTGACCTTTTATTTATTTATTTTGATTTTAATCGTTTTGTATGATTTCAGTGTCTATGTAGCGAGTGTGCTAAGGCATTGCGAGTTCAATCAAACAAGTGTCCAATTTGTCGTCAACCTATCGAAGAACTAATGGAGATCAAAATTAGTACAGTTGATCGTTGATATATCTTTTTTTTTTTTCTTATTAATGAATCAAGAATCACATGTTACAAAGTATATTCTTTTCCTCTTGTCCAATCTTGTGATGTAGTTAATGTTATAATATTTGTGTAAAAGCTGTTATTTTTCTCCTTGGGTAATAATTCATGTATAGATATCAAACCATGGTTTCTTCCTTTTCTTCTTGGGCTTGCTTTTCTTTTTCTTTTTCTTTTCCTTTGATGATGTAACACAATTGATTTAAGTTTGGTATCTTTTTTAAAAACAAGGGTTCAATTGTCAGCCAACTTTGTATGAGTTTTAATTTCAATACGTTTTTTTTACCTGATTTACACATGATACTCATTAGGGATTATTGGAAAAATAACCATTTTTGTGTGTTTTAAAGTCGAGTAAATGAATCTGACCTTCGAAGAACTGCTTATCACATGCATTTGATTGTGATTATTGATTGGATTGTGATTATTGATATCAATGAAACACATTGCAATTTGGGTCCCACACTTAAAAAGTTTGACAAGGACTTATCAGAATTTGTTTTTTTGGGAAAGGACGTGAATAACGCTTTTTATAACAATGAACCTTCAAGTGAGCTTAATCAACAAAAACGTTGCAAGATTCAATAAGACAAATTACGTTTTCTGTCTTATACAAAAATGTGTGACATGAAGCGTATATTGATATATTGTTTGCATAAAAGACATAAATGACATCCTCTCTTTCACAAAACATAGTCTTAAAAAACTTACCAAGTGTCTTAAGGAAGTAAAGTAGTTCACATGACAAGTTTCTTTCTTTTTTTTTTTTTTTTTTTTTTTTTTTTTCTTGTTTTTGATTGTGAAAGACTAGTTGTCGCGTTTATGTCAGATCTTAGGAGTTACCAGTTTAACACCACTATACTTTTCATCTTTAAGATTGGAATTTAACCTTTGCTTTATCCTCTCTTTACTCTGTTTGTCTTCTTTACTTTGTAGCCTTTTAGTAATATGTCTATCCTTGTCTGGAGATATTTCAAGTTCATGGGAGAAAGCATGAGTATTGAGTAGTTGAACTTTTATACTTTACACCCCTTAGTACTAGCTATTATCACTTTTACCCCCCCTAGATTTACATTTCAAAAGATGAGGCAATGAATGAGAATATTTAGGGAATCGGGAAACCCATGGGGGCTGACCTAGTAGTCAATCTGTGGGCCCTTGTGTCCAATGTGTCATACTTTTCATGTTCGACTCCGTGATAGGTGCTAAAAGTTTTTTTTAAAGCCATATTTACTGATTAAAAGACATAAATCGTCCCATACTTGTTGTATTTGGCATATTTTCAGTAAGACTTTATTATATGGGTCATGATAATAAATAGGGTCAAACATTATTCAATGATAAGGGAGGGGATTTAAGTGTCAAAGACTTTGTTCCATGGACACCAGTCTTGTTATATGTATCACAATATACGTCAAACACAATAAGTGAAGAGGTGTGGTGGTGAGTTGGTACAAAACAAAATGGGGTGAAAAAGAAAAAAAAATATAAAGAATATCACATGGGGCTATGTCTCCAATGTGTAGGGTATAGAATGTTGGATTGATGAATATTGTAGCGATAAGAATGGGGGGTTATTTTATAATTTAAAATTTGAAAGACAGAAATGAAGGAGAGAATATTTGGCATGGAAGTTAGCACTGGGAGAGGGCATCTGCAGAGCTTTTTACAGAGGTGAGGACAATACAAGATACAAAATTGGTGCAGTAATAATATTGACTTTCTGAGCTTCTTGTTAATCTTGTTCTGCGTATAATTGTAGATTGGGGACCATCACTTGTCTCATTCTTGCCTGCTACATTTTTAGCTTAAAACCACTTCATAACTTCAAAAAAAAAAACATGCTTTTCTAAACTATATATATATATATATATATATATATATATATATATATATATATATATATATATATATATATATATATATATATATATACTATTCTCATTCTTATTTCTTTTTTTTTCCAAATTTAATGCAGTTATGTTTTAACTTGGATTATTTGATAATTTGCTATTTATGCATTTTTTGTATATATATATATATATATATATATATATATATATATATATATATATATATATATATATATATATATATATATATAGAGTGGGATTTAACCATTCCATTAGAGGTTCATGTGAGTGATTTGAACAACCCAAACTGTTTTCCTGATTTCTTAATTCCACTAAAAGAGCTTTGTGTTTGCCACATTTCTTAATCCACTAAAAGAGATTATTATAATAGAGAATCAATGGTCAACAGTACAAATTTGAAAAAGTAGTATATATATATATATATATATATATATATATATATATATATATATATATATATATATATATCCAATCATTAACTAGTGATAATTCATAACTAAACATAAATATGTTCATAGTTGAACAAATGTATGTAATTATAATAATTGATAATTTTCATATGTTTCTATGGTTTTATAGTTAATATTGGATTATATATATATATATATATATATATATATATATATATATATATATATATATATATATATATATCCAATCATTAACTAGTGAAATAATTCATAACTAAAAATAAATATGTTCATAGTTGAACAAATGTATGTAATTATAATAATTGATAATTTTCATATGTTTCTATGGTTTTATAGTTAATATTGGATTATATATATATATATATATATATATATATATATATATATATATATATATATATATATATATATATATATATATATATATAAAAGCTAATTAAAACATGATTTGAGGGAGAGTATATATATATTATGTGCAACTAGTGGAATAACATCAACCTCGATAAAAATCACATGCATAAGACGATGAGTCAAAGGTTACGGTTTTAAATTAACAAATAATAAAGAAATAATTGCTGAAATGTCGTTTCTATGGACAAAATAAACACTTATTAATAGGCCAATGGGGTCGATCCTCCTCATTTATTGCTTTCTCCCATAAAGGGATTGGACCTACAGATTGCTTTTTCCAACGTTTTCTAATTCTTGTTTAATTTATATAATTATTACTTTTAACTATTAATCTAATTTATTAACAAAATCTTTTTTAGAAATTTCAACACTTCCCCACTCCATATTTCGGTTTGGCAATAGAAACTACATGAACTAGAATGATACAAGAAATGATGCTTACTTTCATCACAAACTGCTTCACCTTAAAGCCATTGTAAGATCAGTTTACCATGGCCTACAAATCATAAGTGTTTTACACGAGCATCCCTGATCTCTTTGCTTGGGCATGTTGATGTTGTCTCATTGGTGAGCATGCATATTTCCATTCACATTCTCTTCCATATTCATAAGTATGCTACTTGTGGATTTGGCACTCCATCGTTAGGTTCCATGCATGTTACTAGCCTCTTGGTTATCCATTCCACGTGCATTCTCAGTTCTTGTATACACCATTATCATAGCAAAAGAAATTAGTGCATCAATATGCAAGAAGCTGCCAAAAAATACTCCAAATAGATAAAGATTATGTGAACTATTAAAAATTAGCATATCTATTTCTTGGTTTCTCACTCTCGAGTTCGCATCATAGATCAACTAAAGCTTGCTTTCCAACCAAAATAGTTTCTTAAGACTATGTTTTTGGTGATTTGGAGTGATCAAATTAGCAATAAAACAAAAATATTCTGCACAAAAGAAGAATAAAAATCAGCCAATCTCCCCCAAACTAGATCGTGCTATCCCTCCTAAAACATTTAAAGACAAACATTCAATTAAGTCCTATATTTTGATATCATATTGAATTACGTTATTATTATTATTTTTTTTATTAGGATTTGTATTCAGTTAAGTCCTAAATATTGAAAATTTTATTCACTTTGTTCATTTTTACTCGCTCAACAAGTCATCCATTTTAAAAATTTACACTTTTGGCCATGATTTTAAATTTTATTATAAATTTGATCCAAAATTTATATTTTTTGTCCAAAATTTAAAATTTCTTACAAATTCATCCTAAATTTAGTATTTTTACAAAGATTTTAAAAGATTTTTGTTAAAAAATATTCTTAAATGTGAAAAATATGTTAAAATATTAAGAAAAAACACAAGAAAGAAACAGTGGTCACATACTATTTTATTAACATCAATATATTTGTTATTATTTTTCTCAAAACTTATAAATATCACAACCTCTTCGTAACAATTCGACTTTATGGGTATGTTCCTTTTAACCCCTATGTGTAAAAATTCCTTTCATTATTGGTCCCTAAAAGAGTACGCTGGGCATACTGGCTCGAAGAATGAATGTGGAGGCACCCACGTACGCTGAACGTACGTGGGAGTATGAAGGGCGTACGCTAAGCAGGGACAAACCCTAATTTTTAGGGTTTGTGCCCTATTTAAACAACTTATTTTGTCTTGGTTGCATCTTATAGTCAGCCTCCACTCCTTCGAACCCTAAGAACGAGACCCTAATTTTCATTGAGTGTTTGTGAGCCTTTGTGTGAACTTTTGTGGTGTTTTTGTGCCCATTGAAGGAAGCGAAACTTGGTGGACTCAGAGCTTGAAGATCATGGACCTTCATCAAGTTTGCAAGCTATTTGAGGTATAAATCTCCTAACTTGATGTTTTCTTATGCTAGATCTAGTTTAGGGCCTTGTTTATGGATTTTTGGGTCAGTTAAGCCTTATTTGGGAGTATGGGCTACTCCAACAACTTGAGATGATAGATCTAGAATTTTCTAGAGGTCCCTTGTACATAAAAATGATAACTTGATGGGTTTAGTTAAACCATGCAAAGTTGATGTTCTTCTTAATGGAGTTAAGATGCTAGAATTGGTCTTTGGAGTGTTTTTAGCCATGCAAAGGCTTAAAGTCTTAGACTTTATGGTTTAGGACTTTAATACGATGTTAGTTTGTAGGTTGGATGATAAGTTCTTAAATGGTTAAGACGTTTGGCTAAGGACTTGAAATCAGGCCAGTACGCAAGGCGTACTCCTAGGTACGCTGAGCGTACTGGGTGTGAGCCCCGTCTCTGGAATCGATCGCGTACGCATGGCGTATTAGTTTGGTACGCTAAGCATACACTAGTTAGTGGGCCGCAGGAATCTGGTCTTGGTTTATTTTGGGCTATGTTTTGATTGGGCTTGGACCCTTAACTTATATGGATCATTTTTGGACTTTGGGCATTCTTGGATTGGGCAATAATGTGCTTTGGGTACCATTTAGGATTTTGGGCTATACTGGGCTTTGGAGTTTTGGGTTGGGCCGTAGTTATTAGGGTAAGTGAGGAAATGGTA